ACATGGTTAAAAAAACAGAAAGTTTCTGTTGTATCCTAATAAGTATAAAAATAAATCTAACAACAGTTTCGTCTGAGAATCCATCACGGTGTATGCCAGGTTCATTATTTCAAGCAAACAGATCAAGGCCTCAAGGACAAACACTATCAAGTCTGTGTGTGTTTGCGTGTGTGTGGATTAAGAGGTGCGATGGATTTTGAAGAGCAGCATAATGCAGAGTTGCTCCAAAAGGTGACAATTTATGCGAGTCAGGCGTCAATGCATCTCTCTTCTTTCTCGCTCCTCGTTTTCTCTTCCGCTCACACTTCTTACAAATAAACCCAGACTAAAAATAATTTGTCTGCCACCGCTCTCACATCAGAGTGTTGGTATCACCAGGCTACTGTCTGTCCGGTAAATATCGGAACACATTGACTGATTGTATGCAAGAGGATCTGATTATCGCCCGAGGTTTGAGTGGCTGTAATCAGTGTTTTTGTGATAACAACGGATCAAATGATTATTTGTAATGTGGTAGGAATTGTTCACAGATCATTTTCACCTGAATCAGGAGTTCATCATAGCACCTTTCAGTTGTTTTATTTCTTTTTGGTGTAATTTTACCTAAAAAAATATATATATATATATATATTAAAGTGCTTCTTAAAAGCAAAAGCGATGAATTAGAATTTAAACATTTTAAATTTGATGATTTGGTTTCATGCTCAAGTTATTTATCAGGTCTTTTATCAGTCATTTTCTGCATTTTTCTTTCTTTCTGAATGTCTTGTAGTGTATGCCCAGTAATATTTTCACTTTGTTTCTCACTCCTCTGAAGTGAAGTTGTTTTTTTGATTTTTTTCTGTATTATTATTTTCCTTGTTGCTGTTTCTGCCCATTAGAATTTCAAGGTCTTTTACTGACTGCGGTACTTAAAAGGAAACATCGTGTGGCCTTCATGTATTTTTCTCTGACTTTCTCTAATAGGTTCACTCTCACTTGCTTTCCTTCCTTTTACTCAGTGAAAACAAGTTCATGCAAAAAAAAAAAAATGAATTGCCACTTACTTTGATGCTCCTGCTCACAATTGGGAGATAAACAGCGTAAGCATGGAGAAAAGGAAAAGAAGGAAAGAGGATGAGAGAGTTGCTGGCTTGCCCCGATTGCTATCTGTTTCATGTAGCCTCGGTTGCTGTTAGTGCTGAATTGGTTTTCAGGTTGAACGACAATTACTTTGGCGGTACTGTCAGTTTTGTCATGCACACAGAATGCTTTGTGACGCTACAGTTTTCTGTGTTGCATATCTCTGCAACGGTAATTGTGTTTCTTTCTCTCTCTCGTTTTTTAATCCCTTCACTGTCATCTTTACCTTAACCATCTCCGTGTCATCCATCTGCTGATTTCTCGTCTGTGTTTGCTTTCTTTCATCTCCCTAATCTTGCCATCTTGGCCACTTTGTAAAAGAAAAATAAAAAAAATTGACTTTATCTTTCCCTTTCTTACACCTCACTCTGCTTTCCCTGTTTTTTTCTCCCTACCTCACTCCCCACTCTCTTCTCTGCAGGTCTCTATCTGGACGTATTGTTGGAGGTGTGTGGTGGTTCTTTACTCTTATCATCATCTCCTCTTACACAGCCAACTTGGCTGCATTCCTCACTGTGGAGAGGATGGTTTCACCGATAGAGAGTGCAGAGGACTTGGCCAAACAGACAGAGATAGCCTATGGGACGCTGGACTCAGGCTCCACTAAAGAATTCTTTAGGGTATGAATTCAACGCACACTGTTCATTTTATTTGATTGCTTGAGCCTTTTCAGGTTTTTTACTATGTTAAGTAAAGTTAATTTGCGACTTTGAGGAAGACATCTTTAATACTCTTGGTATCATTAGTATAGTATTACTTATACCATTACTGGTACTGAAAACCAGCCAGTTGTTAATGCAACCTCCTTTATTTTTAGCATCTGGAACACTGACATTTTCAAGGTTACCACTTTATTAGGTACACCTGTTAAATTTCTTGTTAATGTAAATATGCAATCAGCCAATCACATGGCAACAACATCTTAGTGCATTTAGATATGTAGAGATGGTCAGGACAGACTCCTGAAGTCCACACAGGCCATCATAATGGGGGAAAAGGGTGATTTAAGTTATTTTAAATGTGTCGTTGCTGTTTGTACCAGACAAGCTGTGCAGTGCACATCATATCCAGACTTGAAGCTACTGCAACATAAGGCTGTTCCTGTAAGCTAAGAACAGGAGGAACTGAGGCTACAATTTACATGGACTCACCAAATAGGACAATAGAGATTGAAAAATGGTCTGATCCATCATGGAATCAACAGTGGTGGTGGTGTAATAGTGAGGGAGATATTTTTTCAGATCATCTCAAACTGGTTTCTTGAAAATAACCTCCACAATCATCAGATCTAAATCTAACACCTTTGGGATTGATTGGTGTGCACCCAACAAAGCAGCAGCTGTGTGATGCTATCACGTCAGTATAGATCAAAGTTTTCAGCACCTTGTTGAATCGATGCCACGAAGAATTAAAGCATTTTTGAAGGCAAAAGAGGGTCCAACCTGGTATTAGTAAGGTATAGCTAATAAACTGGCAACTGAGTGCAGATTCAAATTTACAGAGATGACTATTTAAAATATTACATTGTTCAGAAAATACTTTAGTGGCAGAATTTTAATCACTTGTATGTTAGTAGGGAATAGTGAGTGTGCCTCTGTTACCTAGGCTAATTCAAGCAGCACATACTTGAAAACCAATCTACAAAATTCTAGAAAATCTAAATTAATGGTTCTTTCGTGTACTGATCTTGACTTGAGAGAGACTTGAAACGTGATGTTAAGCTGAGATGACTTTCTGTTTCCAGTTAGTTTGTGTGTAAAACCTGATCAAAGCCCACAGTAAGATTTAAAAAGATTACACTGGACACGAGAAAACAAAAGATCTGTGCTGGATTTTCTCAAACGCAATGTTGATTACAGTGAAAAGATGTTGGGTTTTTTTACCACAGTCCTTAGCAGTTAATCAAAATAAAGGAATAAAACCATAATGATTTTAAAAGTAGGCAGTAAGGTAAGTAAAGCCAAGGATAACCGGTGGAATAGGATATACTGCTATGAAAAGAAAGTGGAAAGAATAGCAGAGTGGGGTAAAGAAGCCCCAATTACACCTTCACCCTTTGACCTCTTCACCTATGTGGCTTCCAGTCAGTGCTAATAGTTGACACACATGAACATGCACACAATCCTATTTTTTTTCTTCTTTCCCTTTTGCTTCACACAATTATTAAGATTTGTTTTTGTTCCTGTGCATGTTATGTGTATATAAACAGTTCTGCTCTGTAGGAATGTGTGCACTGGTATTTGTGTCTGGAGACAGAGGAGGAAAGGGGGGAGAATGTAGCAGGCAGTTTGTGCCTCTGTTAGTCGCTCTGGCATCATCAACATAACGAGCAGGCTGAAATCTGTGGAGGGTGAAAAAGCAATTTACTCTCCCACAGCTGAGGGGGATTCGCCACCACCATTAATTATCTTGTGTGTGCATGCAAGTGTGTTTGTGTGACCGTGGATGTGTACATACAATATCGTGTGCACATAAAGCAACATATGCATGTGTCTTATATGTGTAAGCAAGTTTGAGTGGCGTTTTGCAATGCGCAGAAACACGGTACGTGCGTCCATGTATGTTTAAAAGCGTTTCCATATTGTGCATGCCTGAAGGTGACTTGCAGCATCCATTTTCCTCTTTCACAGCTACGCTCATTGTTAAAGAATCTGGAAAGAGTCACACCTTATTGTCACACATCCATCCCTCCAAGGCTAGACGGCGCTTTGTACGCGCGCGTTTATTATCGGCGTCTCTCGGTCTCACTTTCTTTGATAGGTGGGGGCTTGGATAGATGGGCTGGAGGTGTACAGGAGGGGGTGGTGAGAAACTGTGATAGACAGAGGAAGAAATGGAAGGAGAAAAATGAAGAGAAAGAGAGGGTTGAATGAAGAGAGGCGGAGCCTTTTGATGTGTGTGACATTATTATGGGATAGGTGTCCGTCACGCACTAGCAGCACACTGATACACACACATATCATTCCCCGGGTGCTGGTTTCAGTGGCTGAGGCCCTGGCTTGTTGCTCGAAGAGCGACTGAATAACACTTTATCACCAGGAGTGAAAGAGAAGAAAGAAGCAGTGCGCTGGTGGAGGATGACAGTTTGACTCCTCTGCTTGTTATTTTCACTCTTGAGTACACGTAGTTCACACACACAAGCAAACAAATCATTTCACATATATACACACAGACCGATGTGCAGAATTACAAGACCACAGACATATGTAGGATGTATACAGTACACATTATAAAAAAAATATAATAGGGTTTATATACAATACTGTGCAAACGTCTTAAGCCACCCTTCATTTCTTCGTATCTTTGTATCTGGTGAATTTATTTACTGAAATATGTGCAACAGAGTTTGTACAATTATAATAAGCTCAAAAGCCAATATCTGGTATGACCACACAAGACGATCCCACACTGCTTCATGGATGTTGAGGTCCAGGCTCTGGGGAGACCAATCCATGACCGATAGGTGATGGTGTGCTTTTACTGCATTGACAGTGTGTTTGGGATCATTGTGATGTTGAAAAAACAAGCTGATGTCAATCAGACGCCTTCCAGCTAGTACAGCACGGTGGATCAAGATCTGAAAATACTTCAATGCATTCATAATTCCATCAGTTCTGACAAGATCCCCAGCACCACTGTCTGAAATGTTTTACAGATGGCTGTAGACACTCACTGTTGTAGCTCTCGCCTGACCTCCTCTGTCTTCAAATTGATTGAACCCAAAAATTTCAATTTGGATTCATCACCCCATATGACCCGTCGCCACTGATATTCAGTCTTTTTTCAGTGATGTGACATACCCCTGCTTTTTGTCCCTGGTTCGTCTTGTAGTTTTTTAGGCCGGCCACTTCTGTCTCTGTCATTTCCATTATGTGTCTTTTAAGGAAACACTGTATAACATGTGGAGATATGCCAGGTTTGTGGCTCTTTGGGTATCACCATATTGGTACAAAAGCACAGTTTATATGCTTGAAAAACTGAGTTATTTTGGAATTTTTCATAGATTCAAGTTTCAAGTAAAGAAATTGCAAATAATTATCATTTTTTTAATAGGCTATGCTAATAGTAACAAAGTGCCTAAAGATACATTTTGTTATATATGTAGCTACAACACTGGTTCGGCATATTCTGTATGCTTGAATGATTCAACCACAGTAAGTGGTTTTAAAAAACACAACATTCCTCTGAAAATAGCCAGGTACAAAGAGTGGACTGAAAATGAGTGAAAAAGCAGCCAAAGTCCAAAAACGTCTGGTTTGTTCAAGACAAAATATAAAGAAATAAGTGGTGGCTGAAGACTTTTGTACTGTACTTAAATTAAATTCATAACCACACACCAGCTTAGTGTACAAGTATTCCAGTAAAAAGTAAGACTGATGTTTGACTTGTCAGCATCTGCACCATGTCATAATTTAAATGTGGTTATACAGGAAATGTGATTATACACCATGTGATAAACATTGAAGACACAGCACACCATCAACAGCATCATTTTACTCAGGGACCAAAAGAGGAAAAGTCAGCTTCACATCATACGAAGCTGTAGCATCTGTAGCAACAAATCAAATCCAGTGGAAACATGGATTGTTAACATGGATTAACAGCCTCCTTTTTGCGTCAGTAAAGTCAGCACTAAGGTCAGCATGTCGATTTGAATAATTAATTAGATAATGTCCGCACACTGTTCAAAGTAACATTTGTAAAAGAAAAAGACTGGCAGGCATTGTTCTATATTTTCTTGCAGCTGAAAACCAATTAATTTCTACTCATTCCTGAAGCATAAATCCATTTCAAATAGGTCACAAAAATGGAATTTTGTTTTCATTTTTGTTAACCTTCCCCAATCAAGTTTAAGAGCAATGTGTTTGGCATCAATCAGCAGCAAATTCAAATACATCCACCTCTAGAGTTTTTGAGGTGGGATTGACTTAAAACCTGTGTTAAAGGTAATGAAGAACATAACCAGGGCAATGATGCAGCTCAAATGTGTTTTTAATATCTTTTGGAGAATACCAATAACTTAGCAACAAACAGGCAGTATTTGTTAGTGGGACTCATTTATTTTTGTTAAACGGCTGAAATATATACAGTGAAGATCTACAACGTAGCTTCCTTGACAGCTGGCTTCCACATCATTTTAGGGAAAATTTTCTCCTATAACTGTGAATTTATACCCGTTAATTCCCTGTTAACCTTTTCCTTTCTCCCCTTTGCCCCTCTTCCATGCTAGAGATCCAAAATAGCTGTATACGAGAAGATGTGGTCATATATGAAATCCGCTGAGCCAACTGTCTTCACCAAAACCACAGCAGAAGGCGTGGCAAGGGTCCGAAAGTCCAAGGGGAAGTACGCCTTCCTTCTCGAGTCCACCATGAACGAATACACGGAGCAGCGAAAGCCTTGTGATACCATGAAAGTCGGAGGCAACCTGGACTCCAAAGGATACGGCATTGCAACACCGAAAGGCTCACAGTTAAGGTGGGTGGAATAGTGTAACAATAGGAAACAGTAACGACGCTGATACTGGACTATTGCTGCGATATTCCACCTACCCTGCTGTGCCTTTTATACTTGACCTAAATCAACCTCTCACTGCTGTCTGGTGAAAATTTCTCAACCAAAGAATTGTAAAAATTGACCGAAGTGGACATTGATTGATTCTCGCAAGCGTAAAGTCCCAAATTAACAGTAAATGTTATTGATTTAACACAATTTATGGATTTATGGGATAGGCACTTGGCAGTTATATGTTTTTACCGAGCAGCAGTGACTTCGATAAATGTGTTAAACGTGCAAATCATTTGTTTAGTCATGGTTTCTTTTGTTAATACCTTAATTTCTTTTTTCCCCCACTTTCTGCCTTCCTTTTTGTATTGTTTGTAATTCTGTTCGACTCTCTTTGCTCTCACTTCTGCCATCTGTTAAATCAAAGCATGTCACCTCCACCGTCTTTGTCCTGTGTCGCTGTCATCCATACGTCGCTTTGTGCTTGTGTCCTTCCTTTCTTTTTTGTTGCTATTTTCAACCACCTTTTCTCCACAGGGCCACCTTCCAGGTAACTCTGTTCATTTGTCTGCTATCATCTCACTGTTCCATGATACTGATGTTGACGATGATTAAAAGAGAGATTTATTACCAGAGAATGACCACGAGGAGAGGCAGAACCTCAGACTGCTGCCACTCCATCCAGAGCCACGGGGGGAATTTATAGACAACCAGGAAAAGAAAAAAAGTGAGGAACAGGAAGCAGAGGGGCCTGTCCAATGGGGGGAATTCAAAGTAAATATAAAACAGGAAAAACACTGATCCACAAACAAAAGAAAGACACAGTTTCAATCTTTAAACCAGTTAAATTAATAGATAATTGAACAATCTCAAATTAAAGCCCAACAAACAGAAAAATCAGTAGTAGTTTTTTTAAAAGGAAAAAGTGCATCAACATGAAATAGAAACCATAAGATGGAGGAAACAAATGACAAAGTGAAGTTGGTCATTTTATCTTGTTTTTCCCTCAGTAGACATTTGTTTCTCTGGCTTGTTAACTTGAGCTTACAGTAACAGTCTCAATAGGTTTCACTGCGATATCCTCAGCAATGCAGATAATTCATTTTCCAGGTGACTGTGACAGCAGTAAAGAAACTTTGTCTTCTCAATGTGACAAGTGCCTGCTGAGGAAAAAAATAATTGACTAAATTCAGCAAAGCTGGACCACTTGCTTTCTCCTCTCTCCTCCATCTATCTCTGTCAGCATTTCAGATTTGCCACATAAAAGGCAAAGCACAAACAGCACATCAGCCTCACACCATGTCCTATAACTTTCCCCTGTGCATGGTGCAAAGTTCCTCAAGACCCCTGTCGCCCTGTAGTTTACCTCTTATTTTCTTAAACGAGAAAAAAAAAGGTTTTCCCGTTTATGAGGGAAAATTGTGACAGACAGCAAGTGGATAGGTTCCTTTGGAAGCTCCCCCGTAACACATACCTGGGACTATCCACGGTTGTCTCTGGCTGCTCTCAGTCTGCAGAAACACAGACTTGCACAAGGCTGCGAGGGCGCACGCCGGGTGAGCCTGCCTCTCCTCCTGGTGCAGTAATCATTTGATGTGATGATGATGATGATGAAGAGCATGAATACTCTGATGATTGAGCTGAACATTAATAGTATTGTTTACTTTCTGCTATATGACTCCTTTTGATGTGACTTTTAATATGTGACTGTCATTATCATGCTTTACAGATCTTTTTGAACTGTTTTCATCCATTCCTCTTATGTTGATGAGATTAGTCATGGCCGGCAGATTAGATCACCCCAGAGAACGCTGTCTCTTCTCGAATCTCTCGAATATTGTTTCTAAGCTCTTAACACCAGTGTACCATCAGACCGTCAGAGATGAGATAGTGCTTCCAGATAGGCAAGTGCACAGACAAAGGGCCAGACAAATAAACAAGTACGCAGCGACTGCTGTGACCTTTGTGCAAAGATTAGTATGGCCGATCAGCATCGCACAAACAAAAGCAGAGCACAGTCGCACAAGAAGAGGATGACAGGAAAGAGTTCATGGGCAGCTGTAAAAATCAGAGATGTGGCAGAGAAAGCAGAAAATGACACCGTCATACCATAACTCTTGGCCCTTGTAAACATGAAGCATGATTTTTCAAATAATATTGCCGCGCAGCAAGAAGGTCCTGAGTTCAATTCCACCATCAGGCCGGGGTCTTTCTGTGTGGCGTTTGCATGTTCTCCCCGTGTTTGCGTGGGTTCCCTCTGGGTACTCCAGCTTCCTCCCACAGTCCAAAGACATGCAGTTTGTGGCAATAGGTTAATTGATTAATCCAAATTGCCCAAAGTGTGAATGCGGGTGCGAATGGTCGTCTGTCTCTGTGCGACAGACTGGCGACCTGTCCAGAGTGTACCTCCCTATGACAGCTGGGCTAGGCTTCAGGATAAGTGGAAGTAAATGGATGGATGGATGTTTGCTATAAATCCAGGATGTTAAACTGATTTTACATTATGGGGCACATACGTCTCACTTTCATCATAAACACTCAAAACTCCCTTTTCTGTCAGTGTAAAGATGTTTAACTACACATTTAATCCCATTTAAAATAAGAAAAAGAAGTTTCAATTTCAATTTGATGTCTCAGTTGATCTACGTGATAAAAAAAATTGCTGCTGTAGTAAATGAAATCTGTTAGCATAAATAAATAAATGTGTAAAATTACAGAAAATCGTTCAAGTGGCTCGCTACCCAGACTCTACTGCAGTTACAATTACTGGAGAGTAATTCATAATTAATAAATCATCATTAAGAAATATTTCTAATATAGAAATTTCTTTGTATTGTTTCTTTGGCGTAGTATGGCCACGGGGGGTGGGGGGGGCAGAATCTGGCCCTTATGTTTGACACCCCTGCTAAAAACTGTGTATTGATGAAGTAAATTGCATTCAAACAGATTCAATTCATTTTTGTTCTTTTTTGCATGGAAAATTTACATGTAATTAAATTACTTAAACATAAACATTTTAGACACTCAAGGCCACACACTGCATGCACATCTACAAAGAAGTATTGGCAAGTAATGATTTTGTATTTCATTAAAATCATGCTAGGTATACAGACAAACACACACTGTACGGATGCCAAATAGTTATCCCTGTGTCCCTGAATTTTGTTTAGAGGTCAGTCCCTTTAACAGAGTAAGCAGGCCCTTAGGAAACTGAGGCCACACAAACACAATGTGCACACACAGAGCAATAGGACGGCAAGGGGGCAGCAGGAGGGGGCAAGCGCCTCATCAGTACACTACAGAGACCTGGTTAACACACTTTATACCAGTAATCTGACACTCACTGTGGTAGCATCTGATGTTAGTGCAGCCAGATACAGAAGAGTAACGCAAGAGGGTTTTTTTGTAAAACCACAAAACAAATTTGGAAAAAAATTCCAGAAGTCAAAGAGTAATAGTAAGGGAGAGCGTTGTCCGGGGTGCAGTTTTCCCCCTCTAACTCACCTGTATGTGTGAATTCAGCCCATCCTAATTTCTGCTCCCTCTTGTCCTCCTTTTCCCTTTCCTTCTCCTGACTACGGTCCCCCGTCCATCTTGTCTGTTTGTCCCTCCATCCTCTGCTCTGACCAAACTATCTTATCTGTTCCTCCTTTTTTACTTAAAGAAACGCGGTCAACCTGGCCGTGCTAAAACTCAACGAGCAGGGCCTGTTGGACAAATTGAAAAACAAGTGGTGGTATGACAAAGGAGAATGTGGCAGCGGGGGAGGGGATTCCAAGGTTAGCCCTCTCTGTCTGCCCCCCCCACCTCCAGGTGACAGGGGCTGCTCACCAGCTGAGTGGCTCGCGACAGCCCCCGTCCTGGGAGCGTAACACATGCATCTGCCCTGGCAAAGAGTCAAGCAGGGAGGATAGAAGAGATAGCTTAAATCTCTTGAGACAACCTGCAGTTGCAGAAATAGGCACATGGTTGCACTGATGTCCACGGTCTGTGACTTTATATATAAGTTCAGACACAATGACAAATGCACTTTGAAGCTTGTTGATACACATACAATGAAAACCCCTGAAATAACTTCTTTTAAAATGAATCAGCTGGCTGGACCTGGTAGAGACCCAGAACCCGATTGCTGGAAAATGTAAATATATCCTACTTTCATTTTGAATCATCAGGGGGGGAAATGCTCATTTTCTTTATAATGCATGGAAAAATATCCCTATTCTGAGTAGCTGCCAAAATAAATCAAGCACATCTCACGAAGATAACCATTTTAAAGGTGCTTTGCACTGAACTGGTAATGTCCCTCTGACAGGACAGAGTGCAAAGTAATGGAAAGAGGTTTCCCTGATGGATAGCTGGAATAATAAAGAGAGCAATTACTGTCAAGACGGGAATATTTGCCCCCTAGTGGCAGCTCTGGGAAGAGTAGAGAGAAAACAGTCTGGTTAGAGTCAAATGCAGACACCCCCTGAGAGGCTCAGTTTGACTAAAGGCAGGTGGAGAGATGAATAATTAATAAAACCAGAAAAACAATCACAGGATATGTGTGATTTCAGCAATTTGGAACATTTTTCAGCAAAAAAAAAGTTCTATAGTGTGTTAAAGAGTCAAACATTTTACTTTCTAAAAGTATTCAGCTGGATCTTTAACAAAAGTTTCATTCCTTTAGTCAATTTGAAAACTGAGAAATTTTAAATGCAGTCTATCAAGTTCATTTGAACAGGAATAAATTCTACATGGTTGTTAGTGGCTGTAATTAGATACAGGCTTTGAGCTAAATGCATGCTAATTAGTTGTTATTTGTCATGTAATTAATATTAATTATTGTTAGTATGCGCAACTATATAAACTGTTATTGAAACCATCATTAGCAGTGTATATATTTAGATTTTGTCACAAATCAAAACACTGAATAAATAAAACTTTGACTCTGTGATGAATTATTTCAATTCATCTTTAGGAACACAAGAATTTCATTGCCTAGTTTCATCCAAATATCATAGCAGTCCATCGGTTTCAGTCACAGCCCAAAGTGGTGGGCTGGCAGTAGTCTTCCTGTTAGTGTATTTCTATGTGTATTCAAATAAACGTGGTTTTGGAAGGTTTTCGATGATGACTGATTGTTGATGACTGCCAACGGATTAACCCTTTGATGCTCACCCCAAATTTCATATCTAAAGGTGTCAAAACAGTCAACCAACCAACAGACAGAACTACCCATTTGTTTTCTCTGATGATATGCATTAGGGAGAGTTTAAAGAAAATATCATTTCTGCTTCAACGCATGCAAAGTAAGTTTGCGAACTTCTCACTCTCCCAGTTGTGACACAGAGCCAGCCTGACGCCAATAGTCCCGGTTTAATAGTAATTGCCTCTGGATTGTTGTAGGTTGAGCTGGGGCAGCATGGGTGTGTTACCTGAAGTGACAAAGGTGGGTCCCACTCATATGTCTGTAGCTCGCCTTAGCTCCTCACTCCCCCCAGCCCCTCCTCAACGAGCATACACACATGTATTCAGTGGGATCCATGCTAGGTCACTCAATCTAAGCAAAAGTTTTTTCTTTGTTACTGAGATGTGCAATGCAAATGAGAAATACTCTAATAACATAAAATAACATGATCTATGATGTTATTTATGTTATTTTTACACGCGAAGAACCCCGGTAAACCTTGCAGTTTTGAAACTGAGCGAAGCAGGCGTCTTAGACAAACTGAAAAACAAATGGTGGTATGACAAGGGAGAGTGTGGACCCAAGGACTCTGGAAGTAAGGTCAGTCTCACGCTGCTGTGGCCCGCAGAACGCTAGCCTGAAACTCTCATCATGAATATACTGCAACTACTGTCTTAGAAATAACATTTTAAACACTTTAGATATTTCTTGAACGTGCTCCACATTAAAATTAAAAGAGTCTTTTTGGATGGTGGACCACATTTACCTAATTTTAAATACAAATGAAGACAACAGTCTTCTTCAATCTCTGTAGCAATCTGAGGCAATTCCATCTTCACATCAGTTATGTTGAAATATATTAAAATATGTAAAATCAACAATCTTCACTTCCATGTTTCTGTTTTAATCTCATATGCTAGTCCATTCCACATGAGAATGGCACTGATTCTTATGCATCAGCAATATTAACTTGTTGCAATTACTGTCTCTCCATTTTATATTTGAGATTTAATCAGGGATCAGCTCCCTTGTTTTCTATTAATTTAAGAATGTTTCCTTAATGTCTAGATTGTTATTATTTCCTCAAAACTTTTGTTGAAAGAAGTCAGTCAAAATAAAATGCAATGATCAGCTGCTACACTCATTTTGACATGCTGTAAAATCAGTTCTGGAGTGTGGACAGGAGCCCAGCTACACAAATATATATACATTTTTAATCAGGTAAAAACAGAATGTTGCATTTATCATTAATAGAATTTATATCACTAATAAATAATATAATGAGCTATAAGCTAAGCTAAAAACAAAACAAAACAAAAACTATCTTCTATAATTACGCTTTAGTATTTGTATAAATGGATCTAAATTACCAATGAATTACAATTACAAAGCAACTGGGAAATAACAGACCAGGGAGTTCATACTGAATACCTCCCCTGTTAAAAACATTAATCAAAATTATATTCAAATTATTTCAAAATTAAACCTAAAAATTGTTGCTCAACAGTTTTTTTTTTTGCCCTGCTAATAATATTTGACATTTTAACTAAAGTAGGAGCTTTTCCAAAAAATAGAGCAAAGTAAAATCCCCGCTCAGATTAAAAACTTGCTCTACAAATAATTCACTCTTGCTGCACTATTTTGCACACTGTAACATTTCTAGAACTGTTGAATGTTTTGTAGCTGTAATGATAGATTTGTAGTATACAGTATTTGTGGAGTAGCAGATGTGGTGGCAGTAGAGATTAAAGTTTTATATGAGTAGTATGTCAGTTTATATAAGTAGAATGTATTACTGTGATCATTTATGATAATACCATAACTTCAGTACCTGTAACCATATTAATTTATCTGGTATAATCTCCATTTCTCTGTGTCTAACTTACTGTATCTGCTTTTCTTTGTCTGCTTTTTCCCTCATTTTCCCTTTCCCTCTGATCATTCCCTATTCTGTCTCCACCTTCCTCATTGCACCATTCTCCTTTTACTGCTCTCACCTTGAGCCTACTCAACGTCTCACCTCACTTTTCCCCTTCTTCTCTACTCTTCCTTCCTGTCTACCCACCACTTCTCCTCTACCTGTCCTACTACCACTACCCTTTCATCTTTTAAACACATGTTCCTTGAATCCTCCCTCCCTCCCATCTCTTCAGGACAAGTCGTCCCAGGCTCTGAGCCTGTCCAACGTGGCTGGGGTCTTCTACATCCTTGTGGGCGGCCTGGGCCTGGCAATGCTGGTGGCCCTGGTCGAGTTCTGCTACAAGTCACGGGCCGAAGCCAAGCGCATGAAGGTGGACCTTAGCCCCCCCCACTGCCCCAGCCCCTCCCCCAGCACCCAGAATCTAGCCACTTATAGGGAGGGGTACAACGTGTACGGCTCCGAGGGGGTCAAGATATAGGGGTAGGATTTAGAGGCTCCCGTATAGGTGGGGTAATGGTGGTGTTGAACATGGTGGTGGTGCTGTAGATTTTGTACCGACGAGGCTGTCGCAGCAGCCCCACGCAACCGTGTTGTTCTTCATGTGGTGATGAGTATGTGGTCAAGCATTGTGGAACCAATATACTTTTTAATTTTTTTTATGTTTTCTGCTTAATTTTGGCTGTTTTGGTTATTTATTTATTTATTGGCAGAATATTTTCTTAGACTTTTTGGTTTAAATTTGGTTTGCGTTTTGTTACGGTTACGTCACCCTGTGCTAGACTGGGGTTAGATTTATGTGACCGCAGATTTGGTTCCATCGTCTTTGGCTGCAGATGATCATGATGGTGATGATGATGATGACAGTGGTGGTGATGCTCTTGGTTAATGACTAGGCACCTGCATTGTAATTTTCAAATAACATATTGAAGCCGTGATGCACAACTCCAGCATTAAATACATTTTGATTTTTTAGAACCTTTTTATTTTGAATGAATAAATTAATGAATATATTATTTATTAATTATTTATATATTAATTACCGTAATTCATGGTGTTGGTTTATTATCTTATTTCACATGTGACATCTTGAGTCCTTTCTTTAAAAGTTTCAAGTTTATTAATGCTAAAAACGTCTTCGTTATCCTCTTCTGCTGATGTGTTTTCTTGGTTAAACTTTCACAAGGTTTTAGGGATTATCTATTTTCAGTTTTTCACCATCCTGAGAGCAAAAGTTTGTTAATTTGGTAGCCCTCATTAAAATCTGTGACTGCTTCCAGCTACAAATTAATTAGCTAGTGTGCGGACACCAATTACCGTGGATTTGGGTCTGACTTAAAATATTTTTACCCAAAATGTGGCAGACATCTTATGAAGAAAAGCATTATTAAGATATTTTTATAACTGTAGATGTCCGTTCTTTCAGCATAACTAGACATCTCATTACTCCCTCTAGCACCACTGCAATACCAGACAAATGGGTAGAGTGGGTTGTTAATAGCACATGAACGCAGATAGAAATTTGTGTTTGGTCCCTCTTAAGACCAGTTAGTGTTGAGCCAATTCAAACTAATTTAGAGCACGTCTGGTCTTCTGAAAGCTTCAGCAAAGTTGCTGCTGCGCCACATTCCCCCTGAAAAATTACCTTAATCTGTAGAAGTACAAATTCTTGAGGGAAATATAAAATTGCAAGGTCATTTTTTTAAGCCAACAGTAGCTTTTATTTGCTTTTATTTATGAATTTATTTATTTATATATCTTTTCTCTGTAAAAACTTTATTTTTCCATTTATCTTAATTTCAAGTGGAAAGATGAATACAGATATTGACGTACGTAAAAGCTAAATTTTCCAACTACCACATTGTTTGTTAGGTATACCTTTTCAGTTATTATTAATGCAATAATCCAATCAGCCAATAGCATGACAGCAACTGAATGCATGTAGGCAGGTGGACATGGCCAAGACACCTCCTGAAATTCAAAAGTTTTCCCACACTATCATCCCACTGCTTTGAGTTAACACAGGAAAGCAACAGTGAATCAAATCTGAAGAGTCTCATTTTCTCCTAAACATTTAGATGGTAGCCTGCCTTGTATCAAAGTTTCATGTTGCTGCTGGTGGTGTAATGGTGTGGAGGATATTTTTTGGCACACCTTGGGAAATTTAAACACCATATCCAGCCTGAGTACAGTTTCTGACCATGTCCATCTCTTTTTCTGAGCAGAGTGTACCCATCTTCTGATGGCTGCTTCCACCAGTATAATACACCATGTCACAAAGCTTGAATCATATCAAACTGGTTTCTTGAATATGAGTATAAGTTCACTGTATTCAAATGGCCATAAAATATAAATAGCAGACAGCAGGAATAAATATAGAGAAATTTATACAAAAACAATACAAAGGCACACATTGGAGAGCAAGTTCCAAGTTACCAGTCTCATCTCCGCTGGCTTTTAGTTGATACTGTGTATCATCTACTCTACGTCTCTATTGTGTCATCCAATACCTGGAGTTGTGCATCCTTACTGCAGACAGACAAAAAAGGCACTTTGGCTTTCCAGCTCTGACAATTTCAAAACAGCCCGGTTACTTACTTAGTTTTAATGCAGACGAATAATTGATGAAGCAAGTACTTCATATGGAACAGCTACTCTGTGATGTGGTTGCAACATGACTCATGTTTATTGTTATATAAAGGAGCAATTAACCAAAGTGAACAGAAAACAGTGAACATTTCAGTGCGTAGGAAACCATTTAGAGGCATTATGAGGTCATACTTGATGTTCACCTTGAGGAAAGTAGCAAAATCGATACAGAGGATGCAAAAATAAGGAGAGCTAAATGCGCACTGAATGTTGGCTCTTGACATAAACTGACAGTTTTGAATACGATGGAGAATTCACCAAAGACAAACTACTTTCACAGCGGACCATTTTGGACCACACTCAAAAGTAACAACACTGATGTTAACAGCAATTCCCCAAATGATTATGGTCTGCTATCAGTCGTACAAGAATATTTCAAAGAGCAGTGGTATCACACAAAAGAAATTAAATGTATAGGTTATTTAAAAATTCCATGTCTTCTCTTTAATTCTACACTTCACAACCCTTAAAATAAGAAAGCCATACAACGGAAAGGGGAATTAAATAATACACAACATTATTTTCAGATGTTATCTTGTAATTCAGGTATACAAAAGTTCACACAAGAACACCTGATTCGAAGTTTAAGATTAAGAATGTACTATTTTTCTTTGCCAGCATCGTTTAAACAGATTATTGCCTCTAGATGTTCACTGTACTCAGTTTGAAAACCTCTAACATGATTTAGCAGGCGAGAAATTTTAAGAAAACAAAACATCCCAGAGTAGCTCATCTGTGTGAAGTGTCACCCGACTCTGAGCAGTATAGCCAGTCACTCCCTCTCTATGAATTTGAAACCCTGGAAGAAAAATCACTCCTTCCTGTTTTCCCTCTGTCTTTCCAAAGTCCTCACCATTTCAATCCTATCCTTCCAAATCCACACCCGAGTCTGTCAGGTTACTGAAACCCAGAACCCAAAAACGCATGGTCACCTATGAAATGCAGTTGTCTAAAACACAAACCCTTCTTGTCTATAGTGTACATGTTTGTGGATTGTTGCCTGCCTCTGTATGCTACAGTAGCATCTGCACAGCGTGGTAGCCTCTTAATGAGATTTGAATGTGCAGTTTAGGGTGCTTTCACACCTCATCTGTTTAACGTAATTCAAAAAGAGAATTAGAGCTTTTTTTTTTCTAAAATACAAATGAATACTAACATCAAATCAAAACATTTTACATCGTTCTCTAGATAACCTCTAATTTGGTGTCAAAAACAAACTTAAAGGTTTCCTGTGGAGTTTTTTATCATTAGTACCACAATGTATGATTGCTTATTTTGTTTGCATCATGCACAAGAATGCACATGTACTCTTGCTAGTAATCGCTTAGCACAGCAATTCACAAAAAAGAGAAGAAGTGCTAGCAAGTAAAATGTAAATTAGAGTTCAGTCAGCACCACTGTGGTGTAAAGATGTTATTTCCATTTGCAGTGGTTTATATTTGGAGGGCATGGCTCTCTTCTGGGACTTCCCTAGCCTTTCTCACGCATATGTGGAAAGCATAGAGAGCACTCCTCCCTGCCGTTTCATCTGCATATAGGAAAGCTGCAGGAAGGCTGAGCACAAACAAGAGCCTTGATATGGATCTAAGCTGGCATTAAGGACAACAGCAAATTATTGATTAAGTCGGACACAACAAGAAAGGAGGAGATGGATTGGAGGTGGGATGCAAAGCTGCTTGCAGATGCGTGCATTACATAGCACACTCAGTCAAGATGTCACATAACAAGAAGCCTACATTCTTTTATTAGCAGCTTTTATAACGCTCCCACAGCCTCAATGAATGAACGTTTTTAAAAAGTAATGAATAAACTTTTTCTTTTTAAATGAAAATAATTTCCCCCAGGGATCAATAAAGTATTCTGATTCTGATTCTGAAGTTTGTTTACACTAGAACTCTACAGGTCACCTTTAACAAGTGCAATTTCAAAATTTGATATTTTCCAGGCTATTGAACTAAAATCCATGACCCTTTTTTTTATTTTGGTTTGTTTAATAATTTAAAAAAAGGAACAAGCTTCATGTCTCATATTTGGTCAGCATTTTACAATAAGAGACTTGTTTAGCTACGTACGACTTTACTAACTACTTTAATTGAGGGGACACCTGAAGGGGAGGTTACGGTGAAGCAATCCTGAAGTAATAAGGAACTGCTGAGTTAAGTAGCGTCTCCCAGCTGGGTATTTGGTAAATAATCATTTTTAATTTTATAAAATCGAGCATCAGGCATTATTAGGGTAGAACTGATGAATAACTTTAACTACTGGGTTGCTCCTTATTCATTCATTTACTACTACAGCTTCTATTCCTACAACCAAGCACTTGTGTCTCTTATTGTAATGTGTTTTCCTTATATGTTGATCTAATGGTCTTTTTAGAGGGATCAAAAAGATGCTGACTAGAATTTTCCAAACCACAGGCTAATGTCTTTGTTACTTTTGTTAAACACCCTTGAATACAAAGACATGTACTGAATAATAATAATAATAACAAGTGTAAAAGGGAAATTAAGTACATGATCAGTTTGAGAAGCGGCAAATGTTTCAAATTTTTATTTGATCAATTATTTAAAAGAAGAATCCATCATCAGAGTTTCCTCTGATTAGCTTGATAATTAATTCAATCCTTTATTTGGTTCCTGTAGCACTGGTTTGCTTATGTACAAACTACAAACAGCAAAACCTTCTCAATATAATTTTAACTATTTCAAATATTTTATATGTCTACGTGATCGCGCCCTGAGACCTTTTTTTTGTATTTGTGAGCCTAATATGTGTAGTGTGTGTACAGGCACATGCATGTGTAAGTGCTTTTTGTGCATGTGTTTTTACAGAAAGTTGTCATTTTAGTTGTTGTTGCATTTGCTGTGCAGTGTTTCTGTCTATGAGGGTGTTTTCTTTTTCACAAACGATATCTTCACTCTGCTATTTCCTCCCCTTCTCCTGTCCTCCATTTCATCTCTCCTCATGTAGCTGTCTTTTTCTGAAGCCATGCGGAACAAGGCTCGTCTGTCCATCACAGGAAGTGTGGGGGAGAATGGCCGCGTCCTGACGCCAGACTGCCCCAAAGCTGTGCATGCTGGCCACGCCTCCCTCCGACACCCCGGCCTTGCAGTGGTCTCTTCTGGACTGCCCTGAAAACCAAAAAACACCTGCCGTGCCTTAACAACACACAAACATACTAGGACTTCGACAAAGACCCAAACACACACTTACATACAAAAAGATCTATATATATTCTCACTCACCCGCACGTACATGATCATAGCAACAGAAGCTCAAATATTCAGATACAGAGAAACACATTTTTACACGAAACACACACACACACACACCGCATCATCATTTCACATTTCCTGCTGCCACTGACTCATTTTACAGAAGACTGATGAATACAACTGTGGAGCGAACGGTGTAGAAACAGAGCAATGGACAACTATGACGTCACACTTGCCTGCAGCATTCTTTTCTTTTTAATTTTCTTTCTTTTCTTTTTTTTTTTTTTGAGAGGATGCCAATATCGCGATATCATCGAACCAACGGGAAAGCCAGCACAGATTTCCATGAACAATGAGCTGTGAACACGACCATAAAACTGATCATGATGATGACATTGATAAAGATGATGACCACAGCCGACGAGAGGAAAAAAAAAAAAAAACAGACAACCAAACTACTTAGCTCCCGCTCTCTCTTCATTGGACAATAAGCCACACCCCCTTAACAGCGCCTTACTAAGACGACAAACATTGTTTTCATCATAATCATCATCACGGTCGTCATCAATTTAACTTGCCTGCGAAGAGTGCCAGCTAGTATAACCCTTAGAAGACCAGAAAACTGTAAGCTTGAACATTTGGACTACTCAGCCATGGACTGCTCAAAATGAATGAAAATGCTTATTGAATGGTTTCTCGCCCCAAACCAGCGAGTTAATCAATATAGAACAGAAGTAACCTCCAAAACACAGACTACACAGGGGTTTGTAAAAGAAAAAAAAAAACGTGGTGATTCATGGAGCCCTTCATCAACAGCATCAACATGACAGTAGAAATTCTAAATAGCAAAGTGATGAGTACTTATTTTGCCGAGTGGGTGAGGTTGATAAATAGAAAAAAAAAAAAGAAGAAAGAAATACATGGGCAGATCTCAAATGGCTTCCTAACAAAGTGTTTCTCAGCCTGACAACTGGGATCTTACAGACGTTTGCAGAAGAAATGAGCGAGACGTTTGAAATACGTGGGTAAAAATCTTTAAAAATGTGGGAACGCATTCATTTTCCACGGTAAAAGGCAACTGATATTTGAACTATAAAGGCCAACTTTGACAATTTCCAATTCAGTTCAACTCAAATGGGCAGTTTGGTTGTTATTTGAGATCCTCCATCTTTTCCAGTCGCTGGGAAAAGGTACCATATCAGAGAGCTTGCTTTTTAAAACTGTTGTAAATAACTGCGTAGCAAAACAAGAATTCACCTGTCTTTTTTAATCATCTTAGATAACAATTCATTGCAATAATGAATATAAAAAAATGCCACTACTTGTAATTAAGATGAAATTTTTTTTATAAATCTACATATTATATATAATACAAATAAATAAATATATATATATATATATATATATATATATAAAAGCCTATAGAGAGCTATAGAAAACATTGATCACTGATTGTCAGAGGCCATGGCATACATTCTGTTCAATGGCTGTTTTTTGATAACTTGAAAATATTTAAAAACCACAGTTTTCATGTGTCCGAAACAACACTGAATGTCCATCTGGTACTCACAGAGACACACACATGGAAACATGCACACATACATAGTTGCATAGACGCGGTCGGCTCAAACCATAGAACCATTAGTTATTCACTGCTTTACACTGTCTAATAGTGTCTTTACCTCCCTCAAATCTATGTTTTGTTAGCTTCAAAGCCACTTGAAACAATGTAAAAATGCCACTGTTTATGACTGTACGTAGAGGCGGTGGATCAGTTTGACTGCTGTACTGCTGGGAAATAGTTTGGGGCATTTTCAAAAGTGTAGCACTAATGGTGCTTTTATTTTTTTTTAATCACATTTTGTCATCGCGTTTCGTTCACATTCATGTTCAAACTGAACGGGTTTGCGCTTCAATAAGTAGACTATGTTTTCCCCCGAATCTATATGGTCCGGTACATTTTTGGGGACCTGAAAATAGAAAAACGCATATTGAATTAAAGACCGGTGTGTAGGTGTTAGTGACATCTGGCTGTCAGATTGGAGACTGCAACCAGCAACAAACTTACAGTCAACAGAAAAACACAAAGGTCCTCTGGCATTTGGTTGGTCCAAACCTGCCAATATCCAATGAAGACGAGCTGCTTCCTGTGTACGTATGAAGGGCTCATTCTAGAGTACTGAAACACAGTCATTCCCAGGTACAGGTTGTTATATAATGATGAAAACATGCTTAAAGAAGCACTCTAAATCCTGCACACTGATCCTTTAATATCTGAGGAAATCTTGGGAAAAAATAAGGAAAGTAAATTAGTGCAGTTATTATACTGCAATACAGCTAAAGCATGATGCTTATGATCTGTGTCATAATGCAGCCCGATACTGTATGTTTATGTTTTTTGCCCTTCTTATTCCTCTTTTGTTTCAGTGACCTCTAAGCCCCTCAGTTTTGTTATTTTATAGTTTGTCCTTTACCCTACCTCTCACCTGCTTAGGCCATCATTGTTCCTTCCCCCCGTTTTGTCTTGTCCTCCTTTGGCTCGTGTCTCCCCTGACATACAAAAAGCTCTGTACATAGCACATCTCAAGAATGATTTCTTGAAAATATTTTAATTTCTTGCCCTAATCCAATGCAAAGTAACAGGCTAGAGATTAATCAAGAACCTGAGACACCGGTTGACAATCTGAGTTTCTTCTAGCTCTGCGTTCTCAGCGTTGCTTTCCGTTTGTATCATAACCTTGTCTGTTGAACTCGCACCTCATCTTGTATTAGTCCTGCATCAGATCTATTCAAGCCAAACAGACAAACACATAAACAGAAAAGAACCTCTTGAGTCTACATGTATTTCAGACAACAGATTTAAACTAATTTTACCAGTAAGGTAGAAATTTTCTACTCACTTCTCGGCCGAGGGGATCAGGAGCCTGCAGAAGTACTGCACCAATCCAGCATGAGAAAAAATGCTCAAATAGTGGGTTTCTTACAGTTATCACTAATCCAGCTCACCAGACCAGAAACACCAGACACTTCAACCTCACATGATACTGTTGCCTTTTCTTTTTTTTCATTTATTTTATTTTTCACCACCAGAGCATAAGATTTCGTGAGAAGACAGCAAAAAGCTGACTGGTGGGTTGTCAATGCTCTGGCTTTAACAGTTTCTTTCTTCCTTTATTTCTTTCTTTCCATCAGTTTTCTTTTTTCTAGTAAAACATCAATGCTCAATCTCCTGTCTCTGTCTGTGTTTATTTATCCAGTAATCTCAATTCTACACCTCCAACAGCAGAACGGTGGATTCATTTTCAATCAAATGATGAAATTGATATTGATCGCTTTATTTAATGGTTTGTTTCACAATGAAGGATCCATAGTCAAATATACTTAACTGGACTGAGGTAAGTACTAACTAAGCAGTATGAAACATGAGAAAAAAGCAACATAGAAAGAAGGAAAGAAGAAAGCCAAGAAGTTCCACAGTTTGGACAGATTTAGATTGACTCCCAACAAAAGTACTGGATTAACTTTGGAATTGCAATCAACTTATAGCCCCAGTTTTCAGGGATTCAGAAGTAACTGAATCCCTGAAACTGGAAAAAATTTAATTTTATCAATTTTATTGTTTTTATCTATTTATTTATTTTACATGAAAGTGATTTGAACTCGATCTCTGTAGTCTAGAAACCCTGAGCATCACCAAATGCTGGGTTTCCTCCCGTGAGATGCTCTGTCAGACCTTGCTACTTGTTTGTGGGTCTTTCTCCATTTTTGTATTTAATAAGTGAAAAGCATGCTCTACTCAGATCAGGTGACTGACTTCACCATTGAAATATACTGATTTTTGGGGTTTTTTGCCTTGAGAAACGCTCGGTTTTCTTGTGTATGACTTGAGTCATCATCCTTTTTACTGTGAAGTGCTGTCCGATCAATTTTGCAGCACTTGGCTGAATCTGAGCAACGAGAGTCAACAGTTCCACTGGCGCTCATACAGGCCCATGCCTTAACATTGCCTTCACCATGTTTGATAGGTAATGTGCTATGTTTTGAATCACGAGCTGTTTTTGTCAGTCTTTATGCTTTTCTCTTCCCATCATTTTGGTACAAGTTTAATTTGGTTTAATCTGTCTTTTAGACATTTTATGTCAAAGTCTAATCTGAGCTCCTTGTTCTTGAGCATAACCAGTGGTTTGCACCTTGTTGTGAACTCTCTGTATTTATATTCAGGAAGGCATCTGATAGTCAACTTTAACAGTGAAACTCAAACCTTCTTAAAAGTCTTCTTCACTTAGGTTGATGTTGAGGTTTTCTTAACCAAGTAAATAATTTGCATGTGCTTTAGCTGACACATGTGGTCTTTTAGGTCTTTTTAAGACTATAACAGATCGCTGATTTTACCACCCTTAAGGTTTGTCTATCTTTCTGATAGATTTGTTTTTATGGCCTAATGATGGCATGACCTCATACTGAGAGCTGCAGTTAACATCTACCAAATCCAAATTAAACACAACACTTGGAATCATCTACAGATCTTTTATCTGTATAATTACTTTTGAGCCTCAATCACATCTTCAATCACATATTGATTGTTAACTGTGGCCAGTTTTTTGCCTCAGCTGCCACTGTTATTTGAAGAGATAAGAAAACAGAATTCAATTGACTGCAATCTGTATGTAATGTACTGACATCTAGTGGTGACATCATACACACTGTACCTTTAAACTCTACTATAGTTGTGTACAGAGGCAAAAAGGGTTACTGCATTTTTTCCACTCCTAAATCTGTAAAACTACTACATGCACAAAATACATGGTTGACTTTTATGAATAAATTAGCACTTAATGTTGAGGAAAGTTAATGAAACACTTAACTGCCAAGGTACAACAGGCACAAGTATATAACATCTCCTGATAGAGCAAGTTTAAGAGTGTAAAGTCATTATGAGAAATGAAGTACACACAGTTTTAGGCAACTCAAGTCCTGACATAGTCCAAAGTTGCTTTTATCCACATGTACCAGCCTGCAGGTCATAGTCCTCTCTTTACAAATACTCTTTTTCAGGTAAAGGTAGAGTGTGCAGGAGCCATGACACATGATCCCCACTTATTCACAAACAGCAACATGTGAATATATAATAATTGTAGTATTTTTGATGTAGGCTTATAGATTATCCACAACATAAACAAGTGATTTCAAGGTCAGGGTTTACTAATCTTGTATTTAATCCCAGATCTACCAACCAAACACACTTTTCCCGAGGGTTTCTTATCTTTGAGTGAGATTCTAATCAGAGTCATTCATACCTCAGCCAGACCATCACGCAGCCCAGTTTACTCAGGATTCGTTAGACATGTTTCTGGCACAGAGACCTCCAGACCGCAAGGCCTATAAACAGCCATTAACCGCCATGTTTTTCTCTAATAAGAAAAACACTCTTACAGTGGAGAATTTAACACAACACCAAACTGAAATTGATTCATGCATATCATCTAATTGTCTATAGATTGCATGCAGCTTCAGGAACTATTTTAGTGTTTTGTTTCTACATATTTTCTGCTTTTTGCTTTGCACTTAATAAGCAAAAAGATCATAGCAGATGAGGATTACTGCGTCCCTTAACTTAGCTTAAAAACTAAAAAAAGGTTGGATTTTTGTGTCTGTACTCGTGCCATTACATGATTTTAAACCAAAACTAAATCGCTCAATCAGTGGTTTTGAGAAATCCATTTTTCTCCAGAGACGGATGGAGGTTTTGGGTTTTTTGTTTTTTTTTTTAAGTTTTACAGGATTTCTTATGTGTCTGCCCTGCGTGATACCAACATGTCTCAGTCTCTTCCGCTGTAGACCTGCCGTTATGGGGTTAAAAACTCCCTGCTGTGAGTTTGTCATTTGGGTTGTATTTTTCTTCAGTCCTCTGGGATCTAACACTCTTAATGCAGAGCTATCACCAACAAGCATTTCCCATTATTTCCCATCTCACTCACGCTCTCGCAGAAACCCACACATGCGCTCGCACACCATGCTGTGTTATTACTGACAAGTATTTCCCATTTACTTGAAGATGAAGCAAAATAACAGTTTTGTGGAGTTCCACCGCCCTTTTAACCTTGCACCTTCGTGTGCAAATGCATACATGTGAACGCTCACACGCCTCCAGTCTGCCTCTTTTATCGTTACTGCAGAGTGACAGCAGCCTTTTCACCTTTTTATTTTTACTGACTCAATTTATCTTTCTCAGCCTCTGCCTTACCTTCGCTCAGCTCTGCATTATCCCCCTTCTGCTCGGCCCCACCTCATTTCTCCTCTGCTCTCACTGCTCATTCTCTTTATCCTCCCCTCCTCTTGTCATATCTTATTTCTCCTGTTTTGCATTCGTCTCTCAGGGGGAATCCCTGTCACACCGTGATTTGTCATCCACAGCTCCTTTCCCGTTATGACCACCTCCCCTGCTCTCTCTTATTCTTGAGGCATTTCTCACGATCTGATAGAAGATTAAATTCCAACACTCTTAGCACACACAGGCAGCTCACCGTTGTGCTGGTTTGTTGTTGTTGTTGTTGCCACTGCAGATGCTAGGGTCTGAATATTTTAAGACTGTTAAGAAGTGGGGTTACTCTAGTACATACTACCTACCTATACGCGTACAGAGCTGGAGTAGCCGCACACAAAAAATGAGATGACAATAAATAAACTCACAGCTTGGATTCTTCAGGGTTGAATTAGTGCAAATTTTCTGGCTGAATGAAGAATAAATGAGATTGTTTGTCATTTAATGCCAATGGAAAAAGAATTACTAAAATAATTTCAGTTTCGATTTATGAGTAAATCAAATGGAACTGATTACAAAAACACAAAAACAATTTGCTTCTGGATGATTGTCTTAGCTTTTTTTGCACACTGTGACAAACTAATTGCTGATTCCCTTAAATCTGTGATAAATTTCTCTGACAGTAGTAACACACGCACTGGGAGTCGAGGTCAAATGTCAAATTACATACAAATCTATCATGGCACCAAATTTACTTCACGAGAGTCCAAGGAAGTTAGAAAGAAGCTGCTGAAGGGAGATTTCAGATATGCAGTTGACTGCAAAAAGTAACAGATTTTGTGCACGTGCGAAGCTCTAAATAAAATTTATGAAAAAATATTGCCTCCCTGCAACACTATGGTTTCTGGTCTATATTAGCAGAGCCATAGTAGCCTACCAGATAGTTGTTATGAAAAAAATAGTAATAATAATAATATTAATAAAGGACCTAGCTCAAATAGTTTTTTAGATAATAGAATTTTAAAATGGCCCCTCAAAAAAATCATCTAACACCTTTTTTTTTTTTTTTTTTTTTT